TTTTCCATCTTTATCCTCACTAAATGATGCCAATCTATTTTTATTTAGTCTTGTTTATATTTTCAATGTAATTAATTATAGGTAAAACAGATATTTAACATATAAATTAATTATTGGATGATTGTCTCCTTAGTTTACGTGCAACGTATAAAGTAACTTACATTTTGAAATGGAGGGAGTAGATAAGAATATTTTGGATCTTGTTTTTTAGTTAAAGTGTTCGAAATTCTGACTAACAGGTTCAATAGTGCATCACAAGGTGGGAGATGAATTGTAAATTATGGTAATATTTTCTCTGACCCAGGAAAATTTTTAAATCGAATTTTCATATCTATCTTGAAAATTATATAAATTTGAAAATCGATGTAATTTCTTTTTTGGAATAAATCATGTGTATTTTTTGTCCAAACATAACATTCAAACCAAAATCTCTACCAAAGAAAAAACGAATTGTTGCCACATCCATAGTACTTTCTTAAAGCAACAAACATTCAGAACACGTGTCATCACTACAGTGAAAATTTTCCATCAAAAAACTTTTCAGTACAAAAACGAAGCTGCCAAAAGTTGACACGAGACATCTCATATGCTCAACAAATATGAGGCCATATTTTCCAAAAAATAAAAAGTTAAAAACCCTTCATTCCCGCGATTATGAAAACAATTACAAGTGTTTTGGATACTGTCTATTCCCAAATTTTAGCTCCATCAGTCATCAAGTCGCCCCAATTTCTCACAAAAGGTCCATACCCCCAATTTTAGATCCATCAAATTAGATAAAAAAAAAACTCAGTCTTATCTTCTCAGAATTGAAGTGTATCAAATCAAATTTTAGAAGAATCTCTAATTGCATCAAAGGCTTGGCCTTCTCCACCCCTACAACACAAAGATTTTTCAGTTTCAACCACGATTTGGTGTGTTCCGAGCAGAGACGATGACGAAATAACGGCGACTATGATCGGAATATCGAGACCACAAGGAAGAAATAGATGTTGACGATGATGGGTTTTGTTAATATGTTCTAAAAGTGGTGAATCATGGTCACGAGAAACATCGACTGGAGATTCCAATTCAACAATGATACTGACGATGTTTGTTTCTTTTTTTTTCTTTTTTTTTTTGTAAATTTTCTCAACCGTGGCTCATCTCTAAAAGAGCTAATCTTTCATATTTTTTGGAATAATTTATTTCATCTTCTTCGATCTGAACCTTAGCCATCGTGTTGACTTTAATTCCAGTGCCATCGATTAGTTTGGGGTTGTTAGATTAGGGTTTTTGATTTTTTTTTAATGGATTCTTTTTAATGATTCTGAATTTGATGAATCGCAGTGATGAAAGAACACAAAAGAGATTCTAAATTCTTATTTTGGCAATGGGAGAACGCATTAGAGTTGTTTTCTGACTCTTTCTCACGCCCCAACACTGGTAATTTTAAAAGATTGTTTGTATATGTAACTAAAAGCTGTAATTTTTTCTTTGATTACGGCAGCAATATCATTGGTGAGATGGTTTTTGTGATGATTGTCGTTGGAATCGCTTCCTAAAAGAATAATTTATAAACCTACTTAAAACTATTAGCTAGTGGTAAGCAGGGTCATTGCACAGGGACGGCAGTCAACCGCTCAAAATCTGATTAAAATGCATGAAAGAAAAGAACTAGTTGAACAGATTGGCACTTGGAGAGTGAGAATAGTCACTTGACAGCGTGAAGAGACAGATGGGTCAATCACCTTTTATGATCCAGTTTTGATTTAATATTCCTGTAGTGTATGATTAGTTATTCGATCAGGCACCTATGTATCTTTATAATTCCTTCCAGATAGAATAAAGAGTTCTAGATTATCAACCCAGTCAGAGTCTTATTTAATACAAGCCATGAAGTTCTTAAGCCCTTATTAATTGCCTATGTCATCACCTAACTGCCCTTGGTGTATGAAACCAAAGGGGTGAAATTTCCCGTTTATCATAGACTAGATTAAGCAGTTCTAAAGTTATATGCCCCCTTCCAGATCTTCATAACCCTGTAAATACGTTTAATTAATTGATCAAATTAACTAAAAGTTAATTAAATTATTTATCTAGGCACAACACCTCATCAAGGAAACTGAATCAAAACCTTCACATAAAGATAGTAGGGATTGAACCCTTAACTGAGTTAGCTACTCATGCTTATTGAGTTAAGCATGAGAGCAACAAAGTACAAAAGATAGGACATGAATCCAAATCAAAAGGTTAGAGGAAAGAAAGGAAAGATGGTAGCAGGGACAGTTCTGCCTGCTCACTATGGCGAGTGGCGTCCGCCACTTGACAGAGTGACAGTCTGTCTTGTTCCTGCTACTACCATGTTTCTAACCAACTAACTAACTACCTAACTACTGTCTTCTAGACTAAATCTAACTACCCAATCTGTTATTCTTCCTACTGCTATTGGCTGGTTATTTATAGAAATTTGGAGAGGCTTGGATTGGTGGAGTTCTGGCCTTCTTCTCAGCAGCAGAAAGGTGATGCAACAACTTACAGTAGAGGAGATTTGTTTATTCTGCATCTTCTCTTTGGCTGCTCCTTCTCCTCAGCCGCAATTTACCACCTTTCTCATGCCTTCTTCTCTTAGTCTTCTTCTCCAGCACAACTGCTCCAATTCCCAGCCACAAGTCTCTATTTCTTTATTATTTAATCCTCAGCAGCCCAATTAGCAACAGTAGCAAGCAATAGTAACAGCAACATGCTTCCTTCCATCATTGTGTCTCAGCCCCTAATTCAGCCTGAATCTTCTGCCCTATTCTTCCTTGTTTCCTGGAGCACTTGCTATGACATTGCGCACCCTTCTACAGCAGCTAATCCATCAACTCAGCAGCAACATCAGTGGGTAAGTAGCAGAGTTGCCGTTGCTGCTTATCACATATTCTCTCTCTTTTTCTTCTTCCACTTGCAACAACTTAATGATGGCAAAGCAATTTTCTTTCTTGGGTACCAAGATCTTAACTAGTGGCTTCTCTTTGATTGACAACAGCCACAGCTACTGCAGCAGCAATCAGGCAGCAGGGCAGCTGCCATTCTTCCTCCAGATTGAGTATGTTGCAGCAGATTCTTCTACTTGCATCCATCTGCTATCAATCTTCCTTCCTTAGCAAGGATTTCTCCACTTGCTCCAGCTCTGATCAGTCCTTCCAGCAGCTCCATTTCCAGCAGCTTCAATTCCAGTCCCTTTAGATGTCTTTTTATGCAATTTGGTCCTTATTTATGCTGATTTTCTACATTGACTCCTTGAGATACCTAAACTGCAACATCACTTCAAAAGTAAACTAATACTAACTAATTGATACTAAATTATAAGTAAAAATGAGTAGAAAATACTTGAAAAAAGGGTATATATTTTTGTAGTATCGATCATACAAAAATGCAGGACTGACATTGATTATTGTGATTGACCAATCAATTTGGAGGTCATTCAGAGGGATAAATGGGAAACAGTAACAATTGCATGTTTTATTGAGGGATTTGAAAATTTCTTTGTTGTTTGGCTTTGAAATTGGGTATTATTGTTTTGCTTACTGGCAACATTGTAGAGGTTTAACTCAAGCTCTTGATTTCCATTTAGTTTTAACTTAAATCTATTGTATCCGTGAATAACCTTGAGTTAAATTTATCATTTGCATGCAAACTCATGAACTAGAGTTGGGCAAGATGGCATAACGACGAGTGCTAGACTCATTGTAGTGAATTGTTCCGCTATAACTTATAACAATCTCACTATAGCTTCTAATTACAATCTCGTTTCATCTTACTCTAAAATAACGATACAACATGAAGTCAACATATGATGGATCTTTCTCATTTTCCAGAGATTTTGTTATTAGTTTTGAGTTGTTATTGGGCATTGATTACATCAGAAAGAGAAACCAAATCCTAAACATTGGGTGCCTGATTAGCCAAGTTTACCTGAGAACAAAGGTCTGTGAAGCTATTACTGTATGTTGTAAATTCCTGCTGTGATTGATGCAGCTAAGGATACGCTATAGAGATATCAAGAAAATGCTCAGGTGGTGGACTAGCTTGGAATCTGAAAGGAAGGACATGAATTATGCAACATAATTAACCTCAAAAGTCTGATTATAAAATAGGTTATTTTCACCCTTGCTTACATCTTTTGAAAGAAGCCCTTCAATGTTGGTCTAGCCTTGAATTTACTGTTGCTAGCTTCATAGATAGATACTGTAGGACAGAAGAATATGTAATCAAAAATTTCACGGAGACAAGACATGAGAGCTACTATCGGATTCCTAAAAGAGCTACTATAGTTTTAAAGATTTATTAGTTTAATGTGGAAGTCGGCCAAGCATTTGTCCGGGCTGAGAATTTCATATTATTTTCTCCTAATTTTATTAAAATATGCTTAAAAACATGTATTGTTTTTAAGGTTTTGGCAATTAATCAAATATGCTTAGAACCCGAGCATTTGTCCAAATTAATCAAATTTTCACTCTTTCTCAAGGTTTTGGCATAATATATTTTATTAGTTACACATGAATTTCCTTTGACTACTTTATATCTGTTTTTCAAAACTGGCTACATTCGTAGGTGATGTACATACCTAATTATTTGTTTTCGATACCTAATTATGTTTAATGTCCGTCTATATTTCTATAATCTGTTATAATATTTTTATTTAATATAAACATAACATTAAAGTCGCCTGGCCAAACATCTAGTAAATATGTAAAACACAAACCAACATAACCGTACAAAGAAAATCTTACACGTTCTATTCATTTTTTAGTTTTAGTTTTTGTTTTTGTTTTTGTAGACCACAAACTACAATGTCATCCAAATTGTAAACACCACTAATAATACCAGCTAAAAATGACAAGTAAAATAAACGGGAAAAAAGAAAAATATCTGAACTCCAAGTTTTTATTTTATTTTTTATTCTGGAAATGCAACTAAATATTGAAGTACTACTACTTTTCAAAATACAGAGGACATATAACATCAGCTTCTGCCACCAGTGACATATTCTTTTAGCTTTAGAAAGCCACTTCTTCTTCAATCTTCATCTTCTTAGCTGGAAGATCCCCATAAAATCATCTGTACTGATCATATCATTTAATTCCAGCATCGATGTGACGCACAATAAATTAATTCAATACCCCAAATTCAACTAAAGAAAAAAGAAAAAACAAAAATGCCAACCTTATTGAGGTTAGAGCCTTTTTAGACTGTTCAAACTTCATTGAAAGCATTACATCAGAGAGAGTCAACAAAACCTTTCAATTCACTTCACAATTTGTCCAACTTTCACACTCATGCTAAAAAAAGTTAAATCCACCTCTTCAGAAAGAAGAAGATACTGGATAGATATTTTTGGCCTTTATATAATCTTCTCTTTGTTTGATTACTCTCTTCTTTCTTCCTTCATTCCTTTCTTTCTGTGCTTTGAGAGACAGAAAAAGGAACAGGCTTTCTAAAGCAACCCTTCTTTATTTGAGGCGGATAAAACGGGTTACTTCACAGATCCACATTCCTTTTGGTAAGCTCAACCCTGTTTTCTTTCTTTTCTATTTTTAACCAATGTATAGAGATTTTCTGGATAAACGTGAAAAGAAGATCAATTGAAAAAAACTGAACCCAGTTTCTGAAAATGGTTAAAGATTGCAACTTGATATCAGTTTTGATGAATGATGATGAGGTAAACATTTGCTTCACCAGCCACCTGCTGCATGTAATAATGTGAATATATTGGGTAATTGGTTGTTGTTTGATTCTGGCCCCTTTTTTGTGTTTTGGGTTTCTTTTTCCTTCTTTACTCTGTCTTCATTGATCAAATTAGCCATCTGTTATAATTGAGCTTTTTTACTGATGGGGAATAGGAATAAAGGGTCTTGCTAGTTCTTCTCTCTGTCATAATTATCTAATTTGGCTTTATAGTGTTATGTTTCTTGTACTACTTTCAATCTGCTTCATCCATTACCCGTTTATCTTATGTGTTTTAACCGATTTGATTGTGTGATAAGTTATGAGTTTGTACTTGTCTTTGATTTTGCTGTCCTCTGTGTTCAGTTTTCTGTTCATGACTTATAATTAGTTCTGTCCTGCAGATCTTCAGTGAAATGCATTTCGATTCTGTACTTGGTTTTTATCGTTTATACTATCATCTACTCTTTAGAGATTAATTCCTAGTAATCAAATTAGCCTATTTCGTGGACGTTAAATTCTGAAACAGAGAAAGTGAACAAGCTTTAGGTTGTTAGATTATGTTAGAGCTAAAGAAATATACTATATATAATCCATCTTGCGTTTAGAGTGCATCAGGTGTTCTTTCTGCTGATTCTTACGCACCCTTCTGATTTCCAGGATGGACTGACACATTGGAATCCCTTGGCAGTGTCGCCTTCTTGTTTGAAGTAGGATTGATTATGGAGGACGGATGTGACCTCCGGCAATGGGATGATTTAATACCGGATGCACTTGGTTTAATTTTCAGAAATCTCTCGCTTAAGGAGATACTTACTGTGGTTCCTGTAGTATGCAAATCATGGAAGAGAGCTGTGACGGGGCCTTATTGTTGGCAAGACATCGATATTGAGGAATGGAGCCGGCATTGCAGGCCTGAAAACATTGATCGGATGCTTAGATTGCTTGTAACATGGAGCTGTGGTTCACTGCGCAGACTCAGTGTCTCCGGCATCTCTAATGATCCAAGCTTTGCTTTTGTTGCGAACCAGTAAGTATTTCCAATCCCTCGCACTATGATTATAGCACTTTCCATCTGATTATTCCCTGATAATGAAGGCTTTCATCGATTCGCTTTAATTCGATTAAACTAGAATGAATTATGAGGCCGTTAGAGCTGGAAGGATGTCAATTAGCTTCTGTTTATATCTCTGTTTGTCTTTCCAATATTAGTTCCTCCTAAGTATTTTATGCTCAAGATTTTCGATTTGCTTTGCTAGATACCTGAATGGAGCTCATTTCACCTATATAGTACCTCTGGACAAGACAAGTTTGTTACATCTTTGACTATCTAGGAACATATAAAAAGGAGTGAAACTCGGATCAGTTGATATATCTTATGATTAGGCTCAGCCATAAGTCGTTCATATATCAAGTCATTGCCTAGAAGTCATAATCAGAACCAGTTGTAGTTGTTTAAGATCCACGAAACTTTATAATTCTGTAATCTTGACTACTGAATGTGCAATGTTTTATATGTGAAATCATTAAGAGGTAGTGATCATTTTCTTAGCAAATACTTTTGTGGTTGATAGTGCTAAATACTTGCAAACACTCAGTCTGCAAAGAAGTGAAATAAGCGACTCAATCGTTGAACAAGTTGCTGCAAAGCTATCAGCTGTGACTTTTTTGGATTTGAGCTATTGCTCAAAAATAGGAGCCCACGCACTGGAAGCAGTTGGGAAGCACTGCAAATTTCTGACTAGCTTGCGTCGAATAATGCACCCACTTGAGGTGATTGACAAAGGATCCCAAGATGATGAAGCTCTTGCTATTGCTTCTACGATGCCCAAACTCAAGCATCTTGAGGTTGCCTACCTGCTTGTTAGGACAGCCAGTATGGTTGAGGTTCTCACGAAATGCACACAGCTTGAACTCTTAGATATACGGGGTTGCTGGGATGTCAAGCTTGACGAGAACTTCTTGAAGAAGTTCCCGGCATTGAAACTTGTTGGACCCAATGTTACAGATTTTTATGATGTGAATTACTCAGACTACTGGGATAGTTGTTCGGATTACTCAGATTCGTCCGGCTACTTAGCCTGGGATTTCGTAGCTGATGATATGGACGACGACTATGACGAACTTCCAGGTAACTTGTCAGATGAGGAACAAATTCAGGATGTGGGAATGTTATTTTACAATGATGTGGAGCCAATGGATGCTGGATATGAGTGGCCCCTAGATCCATGAGGTTTGTCCAATAAGTGCAAAATCAGATGCTCCAGAAATGCAGAAAGCACATCTACATAAAAACAAGGGGCTTATGCTTTTATTAGACCGCTTTGGGTAAAAAAGCATTTCTGAACTCTCCTGCAAGATGTAAATATAGTTACCCTAATGCTGTGATGATCTTGCAAGAAAAGCTCTTTTTCTTTCTGTAATTGCAGCAAGTTTATGACTTACCTTGTTTTCATCAACTGATTAGCAAATGAAAAAAAAAAAGAAAAAAAAAAAGAAGACACAATTAACCACAAGACAAGCAGGCAAAGACAGAGATTATGTGCAGTAAGCGAGAGATTCGAATGTGTGCTCACCTTATTGAGACGAGTGTATGAAGCATTATTATTGTATGACTAGTACAGGACACGACTCAACAGATTGCGAGTTCTCGTCTCTCACTAACTGCAATTATAAAACAATCCCTCCTCGTTTCACCTAAATAAAAGCCTAATCCTAAGTAGATGTGAAACTGATTGATGAAAATGTTAGTTTGGATGCTTACAACAAAGTCAAAGACAGGAGAAAAGCCAAAATCCAAAAACTGAGAAAAGCACATTGCGTAATTTGGAACGCACAAAAGTCCAACTTCCTCATATGGTCCATTTCTCATCATCACACACAAAACCATCTTTTTCCTCTCAATTTCCCAGAATGGTACAACCACAGGTGGGGGAGCCTGCCAGAAAAAGGGTCCCCCGTTAGATGATGATACCCCTTGATCTTTGATTTATTGATTGCAAATAGTGAATATATTCTTTTTTACAATTCAGGAGGTAAAGTTTCAAGAGAAATAAGTAATCCATCAGTTCCAAAATTATTGTCCAGTTTAATATTTCACTATTAGTAAAATTTGAACAAAAAATGATAATCCAAACCAGACAATCATTTTGGGACGGAAGGAGTATCTTATTATCAGCGAAAAACCTTACGTTGTGTTTTAACCAAAAATTTTATTCATAATTAAGGATCATTCAACATCTTAATTTAATTCTGATTGTACATTGAAAAGAACACTGGAACAACAGACTTTTTTAATCAACGAGGTCCGATTGACAAAATGAGAACCATGTTCTTTAGAATTGACGGAATGGAGAAGGCCAGAAAGGTGGCACCTCTCAGCATCAAACAGAGTGCAGGACAGAACAAATGCAAGAAACAAGGCTATTTAATGTATGGTTTTACTCTATGATTTTGAAAATTCAACTGCAATAATACAAAGGAATCTTGTTCGTATTCATTTGACATATCCTAGGCAGGGAACCAAATTCCTTATGCTTGCCTTTGACTTGTATATTTGTGTCGTATGAAAAAGTTTGAACTGAGTTTTTACTTTAATCAAGTGAATTGAGGATGTAGAACGTCAACTTAAGAGACACCAGCCATTCTCTATAAAACAAAATCAATATAGCAGGAAGTTGAGGATTATTGTACTACCCTTTAGGTATAGATTATACAAAACAATGCTTCGAGAAGTTAATGTAATACTTCCTCAGATTTTTCTACTTATAAGGCCATCAAATAAGCTAAAACGTCTTTTAATGAGTGATTATATCGTGCACCCCGTTCACAATATTTGGTGCACGGGTTTTTTATTTACACGCGCTCTTATGGCAATAAATTAGGAATATTAATTCATTATAAATTAAATTAATTATAGAATTAATATTAGCACATAATCGGGTCCATAAATTACTCAATAAGTAGTCCAATTAAAAATACTATTCCTAATATAAGTACAATTCATAATCAAAACCTACCTTATATATTGTACCATATTTGAAGGAAACAAAAAAAAAAAAAAAAAAAAGAATTTCGAAGGATAAAAGTGATCGGGAAGAATCACTACATGTTCATACAATATAGATTAGAAGTTCATACAATTATACACATATATTGTATTATAATGTTTATAGTAACTCTGTGACAATGTAATTAGACTTTTGGTTCATAACCTACTTTAGTCAAGTTCATACTAATTGTATTTAATTTTCATGATTTATAAATGTTAGTTTTTTTTCTTCTTTTTTTTTGCTTTGATAACGGAAATAGTTGCTTATGTATATTTTATGGTAGTATGTTCATGATGTAATTGAAAGTTTTTCATACATGCATAAAGTAATGTTCAACTAATGTTTTCATGTTAGTTGTGATTGGATCGTATGAACAATGTAAATAATTTTATGAATATTTTATGGTGTGTGGAAGTTTTCAATATATCTTTTAGCCTTTGAACAATAAGTTATATTATTTTGTTTTTCCAATTATGTTGTTGTGAACATTATAATTATATGTTGAGGCCATGAATATTTGTGTTTTATTTCAGGTATAATGCAAAATAACAGTATGAATATTATATTAAAACTTTTGAATTTTTTGGTCATGGAAATCGTATACAGTAGTTATGAATAATTTTTTGGTCATGAAGCATCGCCTAAAGAATAGATATCAACTCACCAAGAAACTTATTTACTTTTACATTCACCACTAATCAATTTCCACTGAAATCCTAAAACTAAGTAGTAAACTATAAATAAAATGCTCAGCCTCTAAATCCAGAACTAGCTTTCGGTATTACTTTTCTCAATCTGGGAAAGTTTTTTGGCTCCGGAACAGCAAAAAGGCGCTATTAAGCTTCCAACAGTAGTAGTTCATGAAGCATCGCCTTGTGAAGTATCTATGCTTTTCCACTTCCGTAGTTTAAAAAATTGTGCCTAATCGCCTTGCTCACCTTGAGCGAGCGTGTGTGCTAGATTAAGTTCTGAAGTTGAATCCTCAAAAGATCTGTCTAAACTACGGAGGATGAATTAGTCTTCAAAATCTGGGAACGATATGAATCCTCGTTTTGAATTATAGCTGGAATATTCCATGTGCCAAGAGAAGGCCCTACTGTCTTCCCCCCTAGATTGGAACAACATGAACTATAATTCCTAATGGATTGAATTTCAACAAATGCCATCCAGCAACCAAGAGCAGAAGTTTGTAAGAATATTAACAGTAGGAACTTCATCTGACATGAGTTTTTACCTTCTTTAGTAGCTTCTTCACACCTCTTTTGATAAGTCATGGACAACTCGGCGTCCAAAGATTTCAGCAAGTTTTCATACTTCTCCTCAGCTTCAGCGATACATTTTGCCTGAGCAAGAATATACCAAGTTATTCTTACATGTAACTTCAACCACTGTTATGGGTTTATATATACATGAACAGAAGCCTAGGTAGATTGACTGTATACAGGAAAATGTACAGTTTAAAATGGAGCTTAAGAAATTGATTCCTGAACAACAGTTACCAGCATCATTGGTGCCTTGGAAGCTCCATATATTCTAACAAACATACGTAGCACATTAAAATTGTTTTCCAACACATCATCCTACAAAAAGCAACACCCTCTTAGATGTTCGGGATGGTCAATATGAGATAAGAAAAAACCAACCAGAAGAAAAGTGATTCACCTCATAGTCAAACCTACAGAGTTCCGTTTTCATCCGTTAAAGAAAATATCTGGATTATGCTCCACCTCACATTCAAATCAGGACGTTATGTAAATTCTCAATAAAGAAACTGCTACGAGCATAAGATGATAGACATATCCAAAAGGAAGTCAACTCACAGATCATCAGCTAGTTCAACAAGAAATTCTGATGTAGATAGGAATTCCATGTGCACTTCATTTACCTTCATAACAGCTTACAAGAAAGCAACTTGAGTTATAATACAATAAAATTACCTACATAAACAGCTATTTATGCGGACACAGAAAATCCTTCACAAAAGTCAAAGAAAATGAATGCCTGGACCTGAAAAATTGTTTCATAGTTTGAAATGGAAAAAAAGCTCAAAAGCATTATTTCGGCATGTAACTAAATTAAAGTATTTGACCAGTGGTTTCAGGAATGCGATAGGGAATTATACCTCTTCTTTCCGCAGTTGATATAACAGAAGGTTAAGAACACGATAGTCGAAGGATTTCATACGAACTGCCCGCATCACATCCCCAATTGTAATCTGAAAGATGAAGCATACTTGATCAAAATCAAGAAGAGAGAATCCATAGACTACAATTCTCGGTCATTTCTGCGGGGCGACATTGAGGCTACCAAATGAAGGACCCTGGTTAAACACACAATCTCTAAATATAACTATATATATGCAGGTTTTAAGCTGGCCATTTTTCTCGTCTTGAATCATGATCTATATGACATTGAACTAATGGTTTTTGTTGACGGTAGGAATTGCTACAATTCAGATCTCTACAAACTGATTTCTTAGATTATCTAGAAGATTTGGGATTAAAAACAGAAAAGGTTTTGGATTGGCAAGTCTAGATTTCATGGAGATTTTATTACATCACTTAGTGAAGTACATATCTTTTCCATTTAGTACATGATCAAGCTTTTTTTTTTTTTTTTTTGGGTCAAAACATGATAAAGCTTTCTCAATTCTCTTAGTCATAGCTCAAAAATTTCAAATTTCAATCATCCAGTTCAAAATGAAAGAAACTAATTACTGGTATCCCATATTTACCTAGGCATTAGATTTCACCTAGTATATGCACTATCCTGACAGTTGTTATACCTTTCAGCTTCAGTATAATATAATAGATACCAAACATGAGCAAGCTATATACACATACAAGATAATCATAGCAGTACATAGCTGAGCATAGGTTTTAATCAAAGGAAACTAATTTTATTAGAGATAGTACCTCAGGAGAACTTAAGGGCGGAGAACATAATTTTCTTTCAAGTGCCCAATACTCTTCTCCAGATCTGAGCTCTTCCATAATCCTGTATAGAATGGGGATAGGTCAAATGGTCGAATACGCTCACATCAAACTTAACAAGAATCTTTACGAAGTGATAGGGAAAATGAACATAATTTAAATAGAGATGAGATATAGACCGTTCAGTAAGAAGTCCCTCCTGCTCAAGAAGTGTAACAAGTGGTCTGAATGGATCAGGTTTTAAGAGCACCAAGGAACTAACTTCCCGTCTTTGCTCTTTTTTACAATCCTGTGCCAGATTATAGCTGAAGGTAAAAGTTTCAACACACTGGATAAATTGCTTCGTAAGTAGTCCTAACTTAACACTGAAGTAGTACCATAGCAGATTCTCTCTCAAGCTGACCTCCATAAGCTGGTGACTGTAGTAGCTTCTCATTTAAGGTATCTAACTGTAACATCAGAAGATAAGCCATATCAGGGATCAAGAATATATACTCCAGGACAGTAAATCTATCTCAACAGATTCAGGTTTTTACAAGATAGTTATTCTTCCAATGCACCATATCTTGCCTTGATTCTTTTGAAACAAGAAAAAGTGTTACTTAAATATCCCACCAGGTTGTTTACCCCAGCAGAAAAGAAAATCAACCATTCACAATAATAATGCTAAAAAGCTTGGGCTGACACAATAATCTGGAGAGGAGCTTCTATAAAAAATGAGGAAGTATCCCTAAGCTCAGCCAAGTCTTCCAAACATGTACATACACCATGACCGTCGGCCTCAACATTCCCCTACCATCCCCAAGAGGAACTTCAGTTTCAACAAATCATCTAGCTAAAACATTGACATCAATTATTACAGAAACAGAAAAGGAAACAGGAGCAAGACATGCATCGACATAAGCAGTTCAATGTGGCAAGTCTAGTTACAAGATGATTCCCTGCCACCCATGGAAAAAGTTGTAAAAACTGGAGACTAACAACAAATGCTTGATGCTCCATCCGAAGTCTAATTAGAAAAGAGTACAAGTAGTACAGAACACATTCAACAGACAACTTTATGGACATTTAACTAAGGCAATTCAACCAGATGACCAAAGTACCAAATGTTCATATAACATTTAGCAACCAGATTGAAGTTTAGAACTCTATCTATACAATAGCAGTTTAGCACAGAAAAAGAGAGATAAACCATAATGAATGTAGTATACTCAAAACTTAATCTGGTGCTACCTGATAAATATAACTCTCTGTAAAAGAAAGTATTGGTAAGTATTTGAATATTTCTTTCGGTTGATGAACATCCATCTCATGAAACATAAAGTATGACCTGCACTGTTCATGTATTACCATTAGTCCACAAATAAGGGAAGCAATAGCCAGAACATGCATGTGACTGGCATAAAGTAAACTAGCCTAAAGAAACAAAAACACATTTATAAAAGGTCCCCTGAATCATTAAAACACCATTCACCAATTTCGAGAGTACAGACTGATGTGGATACAACCAAAGATTATCCATATATTTGCAATAAAGATGAAGATAAAGCTCACAAAATCTTCTAGGGTAGAATTTGCTCTTTGCATAGCATCCAGTCCAACCGTAGAAGCTTCTTGGGAGGTTCTTTTCCTTGAATCGATATCTAGATTATCACCACGACGAAGTGATAAAGTATTTCCAATTTTCTTACCACCTGCAATCAGTAAATATTTAAACAAACATATGCAAAAACAGAATGGGAAAATTATAATCAATCACCCACTACTGATTTCAACAAATGATTTGCCTAATGCAAACTAAAGCACGCAGGGTGATCTGAACTTTTATTATAAGCTGTAAAGGAGGTCTGGGAATGAAACACAACTTGAGCTGCTAACCTTAGTCAGATTGAATAAAACACTCATTATGTAGGTAAATAGTTATACTTCTGTTCAAGGACAGCAAAACTGGCATTTTTCTCCATTAATATTTGAAGCCACAGAAACCATCCTCTACAACTTATGTAGCAGAAAAAATGCAAAAAAAAAAAAAAAAAGAAAAAAAAAGAAGAAGAAGAAAAGGAAGAAGAACTTGCTCACTTGCTTAGTCCAAATATGTCTTGCATTTATAGGGGTGTAGAAAAATGATATTTTCTTTGATCTAAAAAAAAAAAAAAAAATCTAAGGAAATGTCCAACTATCTGGGAGAACAAGAAAATGACCTACAGCAATAGATAATATGCTTTGGTGAAATAATGGAATGAACATAAAAAGCACAATGGAGCAGTATACTTGAGGAATTTTAAAGATTTAGTAACTACCTTCTTCTGTAACCCATTTCTGTGCTTCCTCAAAGAAAGACATTGAAATCTGTGAAATGGACGAAAATAAAATAAAGTTTTGCGCATCAAGGTTGTCCAAAAGGCTAAAGGACATCATCTACCAAGAAATTTACCTTCTGTAAGTGTGAAGAAATCAACTGACCCTTTGTTTCCATATCAATCTTATTGCAGGACTGAACCTGTAGCAAGCGAACTAAATGTCAGATAAGGTAGAAGCCCTCCTCGAGCTGGCCACCCACCTCACTCCCAAAGCTATTCCTAACACATTAGCGTATAACAAATGACCTTACAGGATTTGGTTTACGAATTTCATGAAAGCATTTACTAAATCCACATTGAGGTTAAGCAATTAGATGGATGCAATTGGTGTAAGTACTTGAATACTTCAAGCATTGAAACGAGAGGGCACATAAAAATAAAATGCAATATCGATTGGTCTCTACTTAGTACTCACTAAAGATATCTAAAGAAGCGACAATAATAACAAGCAAGTGCACTTCAAACAGATTCTAGGACAAACGAAAACCGCAAATTAACAAACTAAGCTGGCATTTAAGCAGCAAGGATCATAATTTAAGTATGATGAACTGCATTCACAATAATAAATTAGCAAATTAAATAAAGACAGCAACTTTAATCAAAATGAGCAATCCAATGAGCACCGAATTCATGAAATGGCCAAGAATGAGCTCAAATAACGACTTCAATGTATGATTACAAGAGGTAAAAGCCGTTAACAATTCCTAGCGAATTAGAAAGATGCGGAAGAGTCATTCATGGGTAATCATAGTTACCAGGAAAAGGGTGAAATCCGCAAGGAAAAGGTGGGAGTTGGGATCATCGTCGTCCGAAGAGCTGATGAGCCCGTGAGATTCCATGAGCTCCATCATCTTCTGCAATTTTTCCAGCTTAAGTAGACCCTCCATTGAAAAAGTGTTTGTCACACACTGACCGACTCTCCGCAATGCAAACTCTGAATGGAGTTTCGGCAGAGTTGCTGATTCTCTCTCGGTTGCTTTCTTTCGGGAGTTTTTGGAGTTGGAGGGCTTGCTAAAGAGCAAAAGAAGAACAGGCAAAGGCTACATTTTTACTTGTTTTTTTTTTTTTCTAAATAAAAAGAAATTTCATACATTTTGCAAAGAGTGCTAATCTACAAACGAAAACATATAAAATCTACGGTTAATATATTTGCAATTATATTCTGTATAGTCTTAGAAATGTGCCTTAATATTTGCAAAGATGAATCATTTGCAAGAAAGATAAGAAACGGTCTAATATAAACTAGCCACGTCAGCTCCTACAACCCACAACTTGTCTTTAATCTTACACAAAAAGTGCTTCCGCACATTATATAACTTATATGTAAATATGTAAATCGGAAACAACATGTCTTTAACCTTACACAAAAAGTGCTTCCACACATTATATAACTTATATGTAAATATGTAAATCGGAAAAAGTTATTGCTGTTCATGTGCTTTATACCAAATAAGATACTTCATTCCACAGGTTTGCACATTTGGTTGGGCCAGAGAATATCAGATGACTGAATTCTCTAATCACCCAAATGTGTGGGAGCTTGGTTTAAATCTTAAAAGGGAAAAAAAAAAAGGGCAGCATTTCACACGAGGATAAAAAATCCTTAAAAGCTTTGCTGCATCACAAACTAAAATGTTCTTTCTAAGGTGAAATTCACAAATCATAAATTACAAGAATGAGATGATTATCAGAACGGTGCTTTCTTAAGGTTTTTGTCTTCTACTACCTCTTCCTCATGGAACTCTCCTTGAAGCAAGTGATCCAGAGCTCATTGCCTTTTAAGCTGGCAGGATCAATCCTTCAACACCAATCCGATGCCAACTGCTCAGAAGGGTAAGAAAACGGTTCCTTTATCCGGAGACATACAATTTTGGGTACAACACTTGGTCGCGGCGGAGGTTCTTTGGTTCCCTACAACTGTGGAACTCCATCCACAGGTGAATTTGACGCAACAGCAGCATTATTGCCTCGATTCTCTACCCTTTTATCATCCCATAAGTTTCCACTTTTCGCAATGGCAAGGATAAGTTCAAGTTGTTTTTGTTGTTGCTCCTACAGAAGAAAACTCAGCAGTTATAAAGTGCAGTCTATTAAAAAGAGGAAAACACTAGTGCTGGTGATAGCAGAGTATAGTATGAATGTAAATCTCATGGAAACAGAATTCACGTGAAATAGATTACATATCAGAGCAAGACTTCCAAATGAAATATTAGGCAATATGTACAAATGTTTGTTTTGTTTGTGTTTCGTCTCTAAATGTCATTCAGCCTCGGGAAACATGACAAATTGATAGCTACTGCTAAAGCCCAAAACTGAATTTTTTTCTTTAATTTCTACATCATTTTAGAGGAAAAGAAGGACAACAGGCGAGTGCATACTGAATGTTACAGTGCATTTTCCCTTTTTTTTTAAAAAAAAACCAGTAGGACTCCAGATTCCAGTATCACACCAAAGAACTCCAGAATCCAACAACTTGTGCTGGCAGTTCTGCAGTAGACAGTCAATTGATGACAAATTTAACTCAACAGCTTCTACAATAAACAGAATCCATATTTGACGTTCACATGGAAACTTTTAATAACCAAATAAGCATGTTCTCAATTTCCATTCATCTAATTTTCATACTGACTCAACAGTAAAGAAAAATGCTTGTTCTTGTTGCAGCATTTTATATCTCCTTGAGTCCAATTCACAAAAGTATCAGATATATTGGAAATTTCACATTCTACTACATGACAACTGAACCATATAGAATTGCCAAGGCCAAAAAAGCGTACAAAAATCAACGAAGCAATCAGTGGCTATAGACTATAACCAAATATCCCCAGATAACTCCAGAAGATATAGGGGGTGAGTGGAGAACCAAAGAAAAAAACTCCAGAAGATATACCTGCATTGCCAGCAGAACCTTTTGCATTTCGCCAAGTTCCTTCTCCAGATTATCCTCTTGCATGGCTAATGCTCGAGTAGCCTCAGAGTTTTTTTGTGCCAATGCAGCAGTCTGTGAAAGGTGATTCCAAATTAATAGACAAAACCAGAAAAGCATAAGTCAAGAGAACTTAGCTACAGGGTATAATATGGTACCACCACCAAATTTTTGGGGTCCTAAAAGAATTCAAACTTTTCCCTGTATAAATTATTATTAATCAAGATGTAAAAGACAAATTTTCACCGGAACACCAATAATCATACCACAATAACAGAGATTCATTAAAATTTGGCTTAATCTATAAAGGAAACTACAGAGTACTTGTTACAATTGGAAAGATAGAACTATATCAGACAATCAAAGTGTAAGACCAGAACTGTTCATAACCTTTTTCAGATCTTACATTGGTCACCAACTGAATAGAACTAACACAATCAAGCGAAGGGATTCTTTCCAAAAGCTTTAAATACGACATCCCAAGTTCTGTTAGTCGCTAACCATACAAAGGTCTGTTACACAAAACTGCTTATAGTATATAAGGCCTTCAAGGTCCAGCACGGTTACTCCAAAAAACAAAACAGCACACTAATGCCTCTCCGAAACGACATATATACATTTTCCATTGTTTAGGTAACAAATAAGATTGGTACAAAAGGATTTCGGCTAGTACTATGTGAAAAATTCCCGTATTTACGATCATGAATGATATACAAAAGTAAAAACTAAACTGTCACATAATTGTTAATTGTACGGGAAAAGGTAAGAAAGGACACACACAAACGAAATCACACACACACATGGCGAGCAAATCAAATATATCTATAAAAGCTTCCTTTTAGTTCTCACGCAACATAAACACATTTTACACACTTCATATGTAAATTGGTTCCAAAAACTACAGTTTGCTCACACTAAGGGATATGCACGCAATCACTTCCTATCAATCAAAAAGCAAAGCTACTATTCGAGGTAATCCCATAGAACCATATAGGCTCTAACAAATTCATGAGTCCAAAATTAACAAGAATACGAAACATTGAACCACACCATTGGTCGAATACCTCAGCAATGGGTTCTTTTAGAGACTTCCTAGTGAGTCGAAACCGAATCCCAAGCTTCTCAACCTGTCTAGACAAAAGCCGAACCATGGTACCCGAGCTTTTCAAATCCTCCTCTACCTTCTCAATCCGCTCCAAAAAATTAACTGGCCTTGAAACAAAATCCGCCTCGCAAATCCTCTTCCATTGCCTCCTCCTAATAAGGGCCCCAACTATAACCCCGCCCACCAGAAAAACACACTGCCATACTAAGCCTTTCTCACCAACCCACGGTAAGATCAGCTTTTGACGCCCAGAAAACCCAGTATTCACAGCAAAAATGATCGAAATAACTACTGACGAAGCTAAGCAAACGAATTCAATAAACGACAGAAATGCATCAAAATTGAAATCTTTATTGCTACTATAATCCTGATTCCCCCCAAGGAAGGTTATCCCATCAAGGTCAAAGTGTTTCGCTTTTATAGACCAATCACTACAATCAAAACGGGATTTGGCTTCTGCAAAACTGGTGTAATGGGACTTTCGGGTATGATAATTTCCGGGGTTTACCAAAGGTTTTTGGGCGAATAGAACGGGAATCTTAGGATTCCTGAGATGGGTTTTTCTTGATGTGCAGCAGCCGCTATTAAACTGCGAATTTGGACCTGTAAAAAGATTTCTGGAGGTGATTGACATCGTACAAGGATTGCAACCCTTCATTTTACAGCTCTCAATTGCTTAAAAGTGCAAGCAGAAGGACAGATTGAAGCATTGTAAACTCAGAAATGACATGATCGATTATGGAAGCCAATGGAGGAAGAAGCTCAGCTGAACAAGAACAAGAATTGAGAGGAGTGAAAATCTGGAAATGTAAGACGAACAACCAGATTAGGTTCGATGAGTTCAAGAATTGGCGCTACAATTCCAGGAATTGGGCTATTGGCTGCCCATTTAGCGGGTTGTGATAGATTGATGGGCTCCTTTCTAGAAATGGGCTTGCTCTGGATATTCGCAATGATGAAAATATTAATTTGCATTTCTCTTTTCCAATTTGATTTGTTATTAAATCACACATCTTTCCATATTTATTATAATAATTCATTTTGATTTAATGTAAATTTTATTTAATACTTTACTCGTCCCAAAATAATTGTTCCAATTTACATTTTCACTTTCAGTGTAATTTGAATTAAAAATAAAAATTCAAACTGGATGTTGAAGTGAAACAATCTACGTTCTGGACAATGAAAAATTTGTTGAAAATGAAACAATTTGCTCTATAATGCATTAATGTGTCAATAGATGGAATTGAAGGATTGGCGCCGGTGAACCTTTTTCAGTAAAGGGGGCCTATCTGACTCTAAGCCTCCAGTACACTAGGAAGCCAGAGTACATCCTGTCTTAGGATAAGTTTATTGTCCCAAAATATGGATTTATTGCTTGGTTGGCATGTTTCAATAAGTTGAAGACAAGGGCTAAAATTAACAAATATGACTCTACTATTGATAGTAGGTGTCCTTTGTGCATGATGAAGGAAGAAAATGTGGATCATATTTTCTTTGAATGTCTGTTCTCCATACAGATCATCTCTAAAATCATGAAATTGGTGGGTGTGGAGTTCCAGTCACTTCAATCACTATCCTTTATGGAAGAGATGTTGAGAAAATACGGCTCAAACTCTGTTATAGATGGAATTACTAGAAGAGTGATTGCAGTTGCGATATATCACATTTGGAGGTGAAAAATTATGTTATTTTTCACCAAAAGAGAATCTCCTTGGAGATGAATTTTACCAAAATAACCAAGACGAAGAATACGAGGAAGAACAGCCAGTGGTGCAAAAAGATAAAAATCTCCCCCAATTTAATTGAATAATTAGATTTTGCTAATTTGTTTTGTATTGATATATACTTGCAACTAGTACATATTTTGTTGTATAGATCTATTAAGGACATTTGAGATTGTACTTATCTTAAAATTTTTAACGATATGAAAATCAACTTTCATTAAAAATAAAAAAATTTTAAAAAAAATTTGGGGAGAAAATATGTGCTTTTAATTTTTTTTTTTTAGGTTTCATTTTCAATTGAAAGAACATATTAAATAAAATTTAGGATAAATCAAAATGTCTTACTATAAGTACCGGAGGAGTATAAGTTCGGCTGAGACCAAAAAAATTTATTGCTTCCTTTTTTTTTTGACTAATTTTATTAGTCTTGTTTTGGGTTTATACTACTTTGAGACATCCCTTTCAAAAGACCAACGAGAAGCAGCCCCCAAAACTGAAAAGTTTATAATAATGCAAAATTAACACATATGTATTTAGGGAAGTTTCTTTTATTCACGCCTTCAAGGGAAAGTATATTCCCTGGTATAAGCCACCAGAATTTTATTCATGAGGACCAAATTATTCTCATAATTTCTTCAAAGTAAGCAGCTGAGATTGAAAAATTTGCATGACTGAGACTTAATTAGTCAACATAAATAACATTTAAGTTTTACATTTATAGTTTTTTGAATTTGCAAATTATTTCATTACAACGCACACCGAACCTTCTTACGAATTTTTTTTTGAAAACCTAGCCGAATTACGGTCTCAATTTTCTTTACTGTCCGGCGGTTGACGGAAATCAGGAAATTTGTAGTTCAGACTTCAGACGTTGCGCATCAATTAATGTAGTCCATATCAAACACACGCAGAAATTAAAACAAAACTCATGAGCTTAAGTATGTATGCTCCTCACAAAACTGGGAATTAACATTAATTGTATGTTCAAAAAGCTTTTTAATTATAAAATGGGTCCAAGTAAAATATCTATTTGCCTGGAAAGAATACAGTACCAGAAGTCAAGCAAATCATCCCCAGAAAAAAAAAAAAAGGAAAAATTGGTTTAAAATTTTGACTAAAATATGGACACAGTAGCTGATTAGCTCAGCAGCTTCAGCATGCCATTGATTGGGAAAAGTAAAAATCGCCCACGCCTATTCATAAATATAAGGCACTTCCCATTTTCCAGTATCTCAAGTTTGACTATATTTCTACACTGTTACTTGTGACATCACATAGTGTAATTTTTATATTTTACTGTATCATTTATGGGACACAGTATAAGATAATTAAAAAGCCAAAAGAGTAGTACTCTTGTAGAGGGTTTAAATCTGTTTGTTTTTAAAGATATGCTGTATATATATATGTATTATATGTTATATATCGATGTTACCATCTTAATATTTTTATTCATATTCCAAGTTAAAAAATATATATAATTTTAAAAAAAAAAACGAAACAAACAGAACTATAAGACTTTAACTAATCCGTAAGGACAACCTCACATGTTTAATGTCCAAAGTAGAATCAATAATTATTGTACCTTCCGCAGGTCATTGATGTAGCATATTTGATGTTTAGTTGAAAAATCAACATCGCATCATGTCTCCATTGCATAAACTAACAAGACGGAGACAATAAATCAGCACATGAAATAAAAGGGGAAATGTTGGTATTTTTTTTTTTCTCTTTTATTTGGACGAATAAATTTTCTTCCTTATTTCACATATACTACTTTTTACGACTTCACCTCAATTATTAATTGATAACGAATGCGAACAAGTGATATATTATTGCACAAGTGTCATATTATTTCGTGTGAAATAACATAATTACGAGATCAATTTTTCTGTTAATGACTAATTTAATTCAGGGGAACACCGTTTATAATCGAAGTCGTGGGTGGTTTGGTTGATGCCAAATTGTGCAGTTTATGGTTCCACGCTTTTCCCTCCAAGCCACAATCATACTCAACCACTCCAAATCCACACCAGCATCACATGTTTATTTTTTTTTTCTTAAAGGAAATTATATAATGAATAAAATGTTTTAAAATACTGGATCATTAGACATTAGTACCACAAATTTAAAAGAGTTACTAACGTGTCAATACACTGGATGTAGTTCAACTCATAGGTCCTAACAAAATGTCGGTTGATGGTACTAATATGTTCATGCTTAGGAAAATGGCAGTGAATCTTCCCTCTTTCATTCATTTAGTAAGGACTAAGGAGTTCACTGGTGGTAGTTGGGATAGAACTAGAAGTGTAACCTTAAACCACAATGGTTTCAATCTTGATGAGATTAGTTTTCTATTGCACAAAAACACAACTTGAAGATGTTCCATTGCTTGTAAAAATGTTCCAAAAATATTTTTTGAACATATGAAAATATTTACAAATATGTTTGTCACACCTAAACTGGTATTGTTCTACAAATTCACGATATATTATATCTAATATGATACCAGAAAAGTATATCATGTTTGAAAATAAAAAAATTTCTCTTCGAACTTGGGGTATGATTCAACTACAGATATTGAGCTTAAAAAGTTATAAATAATTATCGAAGTGGATTCGTATTAAAAAAAAAACACACAGTAACAATTTTGTCTCCATGAATTTACATGAACGGAAAATGTCAACAATGCCAAAAGGGTTAAAGGACCAACAATCCTTTTTTTGTTCCTCCGCCAAATTCTTATGGGCTAAACTACCTATCTGTCTTTTTTTCGATCAGAAAATGAGGTAAAAGATTAAAGAGTGATAATAATTACAGCAATTATAGAAAATAAAGGAAAAGGCAGGAAAAATGCACAATGATTGCATCAGTCAGAAGAACAAACCGCAAAGGAATCTCGGACAAAAAGATATTCCTACTACAGTATCAGTGCGGAGTAGTAGTATCTTGGGCAAGTTCCAAAGATGCTGCTGGACTGACTACTTATCAGTTCAACTGTCAGTTCACTACTACTACAGTACTTTTTTAACCACTGTCACCTTTAGTCGCTTTTTGGAATTTGGAGGGAAAGCAATTATAGTTGTAATTTCTATTTATCAAAATTATTATCCAACTTGTCAAAAATTTATATTGGATCATAATTTCTGAACGGAAAGAATATTTTTTTAAGAGCTTCATGTTTGATATAAACTACAAATTGGAAAAGTAAATTGTTAAAAAAGATTTAAGAATTGTTTCAAATTTATAAATATGTGAAAAATCCCAATAAATACTCTCATGACGGTATTGAACATTACTTACGCAAATAACTATGACATTTTAATTGTATCATACTGTATTGGTATAAATTTATTGAGTTTATGACTGTAAACACTATTTATTTTATTTCAACTTTTCACGTACTCCCTCTATTTGAAAATAAGTGTCGTTTTAACAAAATGGAGAAATTTCAAAATAAGTATTGTATTCTAATTCAAATGCATTTTTTGTCAAAAAATTTCAAACATACCCTCACAAGAAATAATATTATTGGTGAGCATTCATTTTAATGGATTGGTTGATGATATCCTAATAATTTAGCTATCTTATTTAAGTGTTTCTTTAACTGTATACAAACTCTAGAATGACACTTATTTTGGAATGTAGGGAGTACTGAACATAACCAAACTTTCAAATGGATCTCTTTTGAGTATTTAGCATCGAAAAGAAAGATGCAATGAATGAGTCTTACCAACAACAGACCAGTTAATCTCATTTATTTTGACAAATTATTTTTTCAGCCCTATTCAAGCCTTCATTTCTTACCAACAAATAAAGAAATAACCGAAAAAAAAAGTCTTCCTTTCGATTTAAAAAAGTAAAATAATTAAAAAAAACTTTATTTCATTTATATATACTCACAACCCCTTCATTACTCTCCCAAAGTTCCAGCCATCATCATCCTACTTTCCTCCTCCTTCCTCCGCCGCCATCTTCCATTTTCATTTCCTTCTTCCTCCGCCACCATTTTTTTTTTCTGAAGAAGGAAATCAAAGGGAATAACAGGAAATGGCTTTATCTAATGCATCATCAGCATTAGCCTCAAGATCAATCTTATCAGGGAACAACAACAACCAGTCCCACCAGCCGAATTTCACTTTCCTCCTTCCTCCGGCCACCGCCGGCCACCTGAAGCCCAAATCCCGCAACCCCATTTCAGCTGTCCACGCGTCTGAGCCGCCCAAGACGCCAATTGCCGGAACTGCTGCCGCCGCGTCCAAGGCGGCGGCCCCTTCTGTCGAGGGGAAACAGGGGAAATGGAGTTTGGATAGCTGGAAAACGAAGAAGGCCCTGCAGCTTCCTGAATATCCCAATCAAGAAGAGTTGCAGGCTGTTCTTGACACTATTGAGGCTTATCCTCCGTTGGTCTTTGCCGGGGAAGCTCGGAATTTGGAGGAGAGGATTGCTCAGGCTGCAATGGGGAATGCTTTCCTGTTACAAGGTGGGGATTGTGCTGAGAGTTTCAAGGAGTTCAATGCTAATAACATCAGGGATACCTTCAGGATTCTTCTTCAGATGAGTGTTGTTCTGATGTTTGGTGGTCAAATGCCCGTTGTTAAGGTAAATAGTTCAAATCAAGATCATTTCTTTTTTTTTTTTTAAAAAAAAAAACTTCTTTATGATCATTTGGATTTGTTGGATATGATATGGAATTGTTAGATTTGTGTTTATGTAAAGGTAATTGATAGTTGAGCTGCGGAACTGGATGCTTTTGGGTGGGCCCATCACGCAAAAGTTTCTTTTGTTTTGTTTTCTTGTTGTCATTTTTTTTTTCCTTTCTGGAGAACTTGCAATTTTGTTTTTGATATGGAATTTGATATCATGATACACAGAATTTTAATATATCTTTTTTCTTATATGACCTTTTTTTGGGAGACTTTTTATTTTTGTAGTCCGAAAAAATTGTCTTGATGAAGTGAAATGGTTTAATTTAGTTGCGAGGTCATCTAAATTTTGAAACCTTTTTATAAGTCTCATAGTTTTATTCTCTTTACTCTATAGCAATCAAGTTTGGGAACTAATTACTGCTCACATCAATTTACTTGTAATAGGTTGGAAGAATGGCTGGTCAGTTTGCAAAACCAAGGTCGGACCCATTTGAGGAGAAGGATGGTGTAAAGCTGCCTAGTTACAAGGGTGACAACATCAATGGTGATGCTTTTGATGAGAAATCAAGATTTCCGGATCCTCAGAGGTTGATAAGGGCTTACTGTCAATCTGCAGCAACTCTCAATCTTCTTAGAGCCTTTGCTACAGGTGGTTATGCTGCTATGCAGAGAGTGACTGAATGGAATCTTGATTTTGTGGAACACTGTGAGCAGGGAGATAGGTGAGTTAACTCTTAACAAAATGATGTTCTGGGAAATTTCTGGTTAATCATACTTTGCATGTTGTGTCTTTATGGCCGAAAGTCTCAGACGTGGCGATGTCTTTTTCCATCACTTTGGAGCATTAACTGCTTGATGTTTTCTGAAATCGTTTCATGTTGTAGCAATTAGTGGCTTGAAGTATTAAATTTGCAAAGAATTGTGGTCTTTGCTCATGAGGTTTGCTACTCGATTCTTCTGCAGGTACCAAGAATTGGCTCACAGGGTTGATGAGGCCTTAGGTTTCATGGCTGCTGCTGGACTTACCATTGATCATCCTATCATGTCATCAACTGAGTTCTGGACATCCCACGAGTGTTTGCTTTTACCTTATGAGCAGGCACTTACCAGGAAGGATTCTACTAGTGGTCTTTTCTATGATTGCTCTGCTCACATGCTCTGGGTTGGGGAACGCACAAGGCAACTAGATGGTGCCCATGTAGAATTTCTTAGAGGGGTTGCGAATCCCCTTGGTATTAAGGTACTTATGATGCATATTTATCCTTGATGAGTGATTGAATCATATTTTTCCTTCGATCAACTAGGAATTTATTTTACCTTTCTGAGACAAGAATATTCCCGCTGTTCCTTGGTTGGCACTTGGCAGCTCATTCCTACAAGATATACTTTTGTATATTGATATAGGTAGTTGAGATCAATTGTGACAACCAAAGGAAAGTAGTCCTTAATCAGAGAAGCAAGTTCTGCATTTTGTATCTCAACTCTTGATGGTTCCAGAAATCTGTCCCTTGTGATTGTTGTCTTCTTTTATGATATTTGCATGAGTTTCCTCCTGGGGTTCTGAAGTAACTTTTTCTGCACGTTATGTCCTAAACTATTGTCACCTTTCAGGTGAGCCAGAAAATGGATCCCAAAGAGCTGGTCGAGATCATCGAGATCTTAAATCCCATTAACAAGCCTGGAAGAATAACTATAATTGTTCGAATGGGAGCAGAAAATATGAGAGTTAAACTTCCTCATTTGATCAGGGCTGTTCGTGGAGCAGGACAGATTGTTACTTGGGTTTGCGATCCTATGCATGGGAACACCATTAAAGCACCTTGTGGACTCAAAACACGTGCTTTTGATGCAATCTTGGTATGCAAATTCTTGTTATCGTCTTGCAATGTTCTGAAGTTCTTTGGAAACTGATACTGGAGTGCTGGCAAATTACTTGAGTATTCTGAACTGAACCCAGAAAATATCGCATGAAGTTGTCCCATTTTTTTAATTATTTTTTTCATTGCGAGAAAATTTATAGAGGTCCCACAAAAGAAGCTCTTAAACTTTCAGAACTACGCTTTCAGATAAACTACTGATTAGAGTTTACCTGTGGATACTAATAAGCTTTATTTCCCCTCAAATTATGGGTAGTTGATGGAAAGCCAAACCTAATTCATCATAAATAATCAAATAACTTCTTGCATTGAAAATGGTCCACTGCTTTGGTAGTGGAGGTAACATCTATGAACATCATTAACCTGTGATAGTGATTAGTTTGCAAATAGGTGAGGTGGTCCTCTATTTTGATTTAGAAATTCTCCCAAACAGGTGATTAGTTTGCATGTGAAATTGTGATTGCACTTGAAGAACCTGTCCTCACCCAAAAATTGTACATGTAACAGCCACCCCAATGGGATCCTATTTCATTTTGATTTCCGTCTGAGCCTACACGGATCTAATCACATGAGACTACATGAATTTGCAGGCGGAGGTTCGAGCATTCTTTGATGTACACGAGCAAGAAGGGAGCCACCCTGGAGGAGTTCATCTGGAAATGACAGGACAAAATGTGACAGAATGCATTGGTGGTTCAAGAACAGTGACTTTTGATGATCTGAGCTCTCGCTACCACACACATTGTGATCCCCGACTGAATGCTTCTCAGTCTCTTGAACTTGCATTCATCATAGCTGAACGGTTAAGAAAAAGGAGGTTGGGACCTCAGCGCCGGCTATTTTAAGCTTGTTGGTATTTTACTTCTACGTTTTGTGTGTTAGCGAGAAAATAGCTAAAAGTTTTTTCTGAGCCGCTAGGCAAGAGCCTATCTCTTTGAAGTAAAGAACTTTTTACAGTGAGGAAAGGAGGATTAGTGAAAAGGCTTTATGTAGAAAACTGCTCAACATGGCTGGTCTAAACTTCATCTATCCATATGCTCGGAGCTTGAGTTTAAGCTATGAAAAAATCTTGTTAGCTGAAGCTGCTTGGATCTGAGATTTCTACATTGTCTTAATGTAGTAATAATAATACCTATATATGTATCTGAAGCTGATACTTTGAAGTTCAATTAGTTTCAGCAACAATAGTTGCCCTTGGCATTAATATCCCTGATGAAGTGGTTTTTTTGTTTGTATATTTTCTTCGTAATCAGAACAGGTAATTTCAACACATTATAGTTAGAGAGAAGGTTAACTGAACCACTTGAACCCTTTTATACAGCTTTCACATCTGCTCTAGGATGGTTGTGGCATTTGGATATTTGAGGTGGTATGTATTTTTATGAGACAAAGTTAACACATTTACAAATTATCATCGCCAGAGGAGTGCAATTTTCACAATGCTAAGGGGAAACAGAAGCCATGTAATATTATTTTACAATGTCTAAATCTTATCTTATTTTTTTTTGGCACCTGGCACATTCAAATTTTGTTTTTCCTGATTTATTATTATTATATTATGATTTTTTTGTCTTGAGGAAAAAAAAAAGGTTTTGTGGGGGATATCACGGAGGATATTATCCACTTCATCTGTTAATCATGTAGCCAGCAACAAATTTCGATTTCAACCTTTTGTTTTACTTTGGAACACTAACTTAAAGGTTCAATTTTTACATGAGGAATCCCTTGAAAGATGCACCGGTGAAAGAAAAGCGATATCTTTGTTTATTGCACTATACATCAACTCCAACTTCACCATGTTTCAGAATTCAGATCATTCAGAATCACAATCAGATTGAGAGAAGTTTTTGGTGTAAAATTTGGTCAGGTAAATAGGATACTTTGGAAGACTCAGATTTTCAACACTTTCTTCAAGCATTTGAAGCACATTTGTCATTGAAGGGCGATTCACTGGTTTCCACTGGATGCACCAACGTCCTACGACGGCTAACTTTTTTAAAATCTTACCTTCTCTATCTTCATCATCAACTTGAATACTCATTTCTTCTACTACCTGAATCAAATGTCTATAAGCCCATCTAGAGAAATCGAACTGGCTCTGGAAATTCATTTGTCTACTCACCATTTCGAGCAACAACATTCCATAACTATATACATCAGATTTGCATGATACATCACCGACTTGACTGGAGAATATTTCAGGTGCAATGTAGCCAGTTGTTCCTCTTGCAGCATTCAGAGAAACAGAACTGGTTTCCTTACCACAAAACTTAGCCGACCCGAAATCGGATATCTTAGGGTTGCAGCTGTCGTCTAATAAGATGTTTCTTGGCTGTATATCGAAATGAAGAATCGTCTGTTGGCAGCCTTGATGAAGGTATTCAATCCCTTGAGCAATGCCAACAGCGATGCGATGCAATGTCTCCACTCCGAGTGCTTGGTTGTCTTGATTATTTCGATGTATAAACTTGTTCAAAGAACCATAATGTAGATATTCATAGACGAGAGCTAGTTTGAATCCTTCTACACAGAAACCCAATAAGCGAACTACATTCTCATGGTGGATCATACCCATTGACGCCACTTCATTGATAAACACTTCTCTGTTAAACGTTGAACTTTCTAACAGCTTCACAGCAACAACTACTTCATTTGGCAGCTTTCCTCTGAATACACTTCCAAAACCTCCTATACCTAGTCGGCACCTGAAGCAGTTTGTGATTTTCTTTATATCAGCATAGGAATATCTTTGAGGTTTTATCGGTGAATAGTCTTCCAAAATTCTCCTGATCCTTATGTGGTCAAACTTGATACGTGAAGTAGTGCTGCTGCCAGAGATGTCATCTGGTTTGATTACCAATCCTACCCTTCCTGCAAGATCAAAGCAGCTAAAAGATTAATTTGGCTGAATCACAAATTCAAATCATAATGTGGAGAGCCTAGAAGAAAAGGTTGAAGACTTCCATCGAATTTCATCACTTCGTAATTTTTTTTTTTTCAGATTTTTGCCTGGATCTTTGTACAGAGAAGAAGCTGGCTTCAACATTGACATAGAAAAAAACTCTTCAAAAAAGGAAATCCGAAAAAGGGAAGACACAGGAAAGAAAAATCATGATGCTAAGCATTAGCAGGAACTGATGAACTCTGGTAGTAGCATTTTGAATGATAACTTGACACCTATCTGGTAGCAACAACAGCAGGACAAAAAGAAAAAGGATAACAAAGAAGCTTGCCTCAGAATCCCTATTTCTAGCTCAATGAAAACCTACCTATCTTTGTGAATCTCTCAGGAGCTTGCTTCATACAAGGAATCAAGGTGCCTGAGCTGTGATGATCAGGGGGGTGAAGTAGTCTACCAGAGAGTGCTGCCAAATTATTCAGAACCGCAAGAATATCTTCCACTGTAGGACGCTTATTAGGATTTTGACTGAGACACATCTTGGCAACAAAAGCCACAACCCACACCTCCACCAAAAGATCATCATTTATGATTAGAGATGGATCAACAATGTTTATAATCAGTTTCTTATTACCAGGAACGATGTAGCGCGAGGTGCTTGCCAACCAATCCTTCCTAGAGGAATCGATGATGGGGGTGCTCAGCCTGCCTGTGATAAGTTCAAGTAAAACCTTTCCAAAGCAATAAACATCATAGGCACATGTTGCATCAGATGTCCCTGCTCAGCCAGAGTTAGGTATAGAAAGTATATGTAATCAACAAAGATGTCTGGAAACAACTTACAAGGCAAAGCTTCATATTGGATCAAACTAAATAACTGGTGGGTGTCAAGCCAACAAACAATTGAACCTACTTTTAAACTAGTAGCATAGGAAAGCAAGGTCGTCTCCTCAGGGAATGGTGGATTTGTTTCTTTCAAATAAGTAACCGAAAGGGGGGTTTTGAGTTTTTAAAACTAAAATGTAATTAAAATAAAATTCAAATGATAGTTAAAAAAAAATAAAAGCAAATTATGAGAAAGTTTCTAGTCAAAAGATTTTATATCCACCTTGGTCTAGACAATTGATCATAGATGCAATGATGCTCAATCACTTATAGGCAAATTAGTTTTCGTTGTTGGAACCTCCTAACAACTCACAACTCAATCTTGAACTAAGTTTAGTGATTAAGAAAACCTTCATTAAACACACTAGTCGAAATTCAATCCTGGAACTTCCTAAGATTAAGAAAACGACTGCATTAAGTACAAAGACTCAATTCTGGTCCCTATGAAACAAAGCTTGTTTAATAAAAAACCAGCTTACTTGTTCTTATAACATAACAAAATCACTTACCAAGTAATTTAATTATATCAGTCCCTTCTAAAACAACAAACCTTGCTGCCTTATTGGTTGTTAATTAACATGAAATAATGAATGCTACCAGCTATTCATGAATCCACAATAATCATATCAGTCATGCAATAGAACAAGCAAATACTCACAAGAAATTGAGAAAGAAACAACCTTTAGATCTCACAACTATTCAAACCAAGGCTTCAATATCTTTCAACTAGAAAAATAATTTAATTACACATAATAAAGCCTTACTGAAACAAAACTATAGAGAATGGGGAAGAATAACGCCCAAACGAGCTAGATAGGCGGCTTAGGACCACTCCAACCTCCTCTTCTTCTTCTCACGTTCAGCCCCTCCCCAAAAGAAAGAATAAAATCAATTTATATGGGGAACAAGTAGGTCAGCCGCAGCAGGAAATTAGTTTTTCCGAGATTTGCAAATTGGTCCCTCAAGTTTGGCAAAATTATATTTTGACCCCAAAACTTTTTTAATTTTTTATTTTAATCCTTGCTTCAGTTTGGTCAAACCGGAATGCAGCATCAATGCTGGAATTTCTTCCCTAAAGCTCAATTTTGGACTGAGATTCGTGTGCCCACACGAGAATGTGATGTCATTGCTCTCTTTTTGTGCTTCCTTGTCAAAATACTCCAAAAATGTGTGTTTATGAAACATTTTTCTCAATCTCAGCTCCAATCACTCCTAAGAACCAAAAAAATCAAAATACACAACATAAGTGCACAGTCTAATCCAAAATGCTATACAAATACCCATAAATAACATGAAACTTCAAGACCTATCAATAACCAGTGAGGAATAGAATCATAGATTACAAATGATGAGCTGACTTGAAATTCAAGCAAAGGAAGCAGCAAAACAGTTAATTATCTAAAGTCTTAACCTCCCAAACTCTCGTAGTACCCAAAGAACACACAAATTCCAGCTGTTTGGTGGAACAGGAATGTTTGTATCACTACTTTGCCTTTTATGATGGCATGAATTGAAGATGCAAATTTGCTACTAGTTGAAATGCCCTCTACTAAAACACTGTAGCAGAAGTCTTCACTCTTTCAGAAAGATAAAATTGGAAAATGAAGTGGCCTCTGTACACTTCAATGAAATAGTTTCATCATAGCTAAAGGTAAAAGATATTGCCAAGATCAGTCCTTGCGCGTAACATTAGTCCAGAAGACAAAGCGTAAAGGGCAAGAATATCAAATTTTAAGCAAAATAATGGTCAACTATATGATAATGCAGATCCTGATTTAAGGTGCAGTTTTGAGAGAGATGTGATGTGTATGTCAAGCATCAACAATCTCCAATGACAGTTTGCTAGAGTTCAAGATTTACTCCAAACGTGGAATCAAGTAACTATCAAAGAGTCTTACCATGACTGCTTTGTCCCAATCCCCTGCATAAATAAATACATTCTGTGAAAACTAAAAGCAAGGCAAAAGCTATAAAAATTGCAAATGAAATTGGAAACTAGCAACCAGAAACAGAATTTGCTTCTATCCAAGTAACCAATCCCCTGCGACATTGTGCACACCAAAGTACAAAACAATAAGAAAAATCTCCAGATTTGATGAAATGCATCCCTAACGCTGACAAAAATCAAACTGCCACAAGAAGTATCAAAATATCTTTGTGGCGAAACTTACTTTGGCAGCCACAGAAACCGCGGAATCTTGTGGTTATCAGTGTCTTTTTCTTCAACGCAGACACCAGTTAGGCTCCCAAACTGGACTTCAAATTTGTCATCCAGTAGAATGCTGCTAGCTTGAATATCCCTTTTAAAGACTCAAAGAGAGAGTAAACAAGCACTGTCAATCATTGCAACATACCAGTCATCTCCAAAGAACTGCAAAAAAGGAAAGAAAAGAAAAAAAAAAGGGAAGAATATGTAGCCATCTGAAAATACCTGTGAACAAGGGGTGGAACACATTCATGATGTAGATAACACAATCCCTCCAAGATTCCAGTGGCAATGTTCAACCTTGTTGTCCAATCCAGTGACGCTACTCGTCGATGGCCATCAACATTGCCATTCAAAAATCCGGATAAATCCCTGTTAGGCATGTACTTATAAACCAGAAACTTCTCATTTGCCTTGTCCAAGCAGTGATCCAGAAGTGGAATCAATCGAGAATGTTGAATCCTCCCATAAATTTCAATTCCCGAAACGAAGAACAACTCTTTGTCCAAGGATGAGACATCAACTTTCTTCACCACTACTTCAGTCCCATTTTCCAAAACACCAAAATAGAGACCCCCAGAGTGGCCTCTCTTTATAAGGTTGGAATCATCTAAGAACTGAGTGGCTCTAAGGATTTGAAGGTAGGAAAGTGAATCCCCAGCCGAAAAGGACGAAACTTGGGCGTAATTTGAGCTGAAGTTAAGAGACGGAGACGATGATGTTGATAATGAAGATAGGTCACTGGGGGTTCTCAGAGCAATCTCCCGGAGCTCCTGCCGGCGAAGGGTGGCGGTAACTAGCCTTTCCCAGTTGTCATAAATTACAGACATTCTACGTGACGGTTAAAAAATCTCTTATAGAGTATAGCTAAATTAAACACTAAATTCTGTAGCTTGGAAACTGAATCCCCTTCTGAAGCAATTGGAAGGACATTTTAGGAGGTCATCATCAGTGACCCTTTTGGGGTTTTACTCTTTTTTTCACAAATTCAACGCCTTCACTCTCTCTCTCTCTCTCTCTCTCTCGCTCTCTCAAAGAAACACGAGAAGCAAAAGAGACCAATTCAACGCGTTCTCTAAAATTTGACAAGGGGTGGATTGCCATCACATTCACGGATGATTGGATTGTAGTAATTTTTAATCTCCTTTCATCCCTTAATTTTGTCTCTGTTGTAAGCTTTAAATCTGATAATTCAATTGGGCCGAAAAAACTTATTGCTTTTCAAGCTTCGCTTTCGTCCTGATTAAAAACATGAGTGGAATAAATTGTACGGAGTAGTGGTAGTTCAGTAGAGCTCGACTGAGTGATTGTTCTTGTTTGAAGCCTTGGGCCTCTTGGAGGATGATGTTTTTAAAAAACCCGGAATTTCTTTAATTTCCTTTGGGCCAAAAAAGAGAGGAAAAAAACGAAACAAAACAAAACAAACAAAATCCTTAAGAAGCTGCTTCGTTTGTTTCATTTTCTTGATGGGTTTTTTTTTTTAAATTAAAATATTAATAATGGTCACATTTCAATATACTTTTTTACATCTTCAATACATTTTTTTATATTTATAATACAAAAAATTACACTAAAAAAACGAAACAAACATAGCTAGTTTTGGCCTTTTTTGTGTCGTATAACCGCCATTTCTTTCTAATTCAGAGTCAAGTAAGGTTGAATTTTTTCAGAATACAAAATTTTTTCATTAAATATTTTGACCATGGTACATGTTTCTTTTCTACTTTTTATTGTACTTTGTCCGATTATTATTGTGAGACACTTTGATTAGTCTTAAAGTGGAACATAACTTGGATTCCTATATATCTAATGTGCGCGGATTCAGCCTACGCTTTATATGTAGGAATGGATTTTTATAGTAACTTAATGGTTAAAAAGTTCATTTAAGTACCGCATTGTAGTAACATATTGCACTTGCTTCCTCACCTAGCTACACCATAATCCGATATCTTGTTTGGCCAACTTTCATTTTTATTTGTCTCATTTTACCTTTTAAAACACCTTTCAAACACAAATTCCAATATTCTCTAAATAATTTTTTAATTTACCTTTTAAAAAATATTTCAAAAATTATTTTTACATAATTTTCGTCCACCACTATCAGACCACTTCCACCATCACCCGCCGCCACCGGACCGCCCACCACCGAACCACCGCCGGTCGGTGACCGGCATGCCGTATTCCGGCCAACTGGCCGGACGCCGACCGGGGGCGGTGGCGGTGGAGGTGGTTCGGTGATGATCTAAAAATATTATTAGTTTATTTAAAATATTACCCAAATACCTTCACATTTTAAATCACATATTAAACCCAAATAAAAAACTAAAACAAAAACTAAAACAAAATGTTGGCCAAACAAGCCCTTTTAGGAAAAATGTAATTGTCGACCGATCATTCTTATAAAGATGCTGTTTGATTTGACATCAAAATGGATTGAAATTTATCTATTTCCCAAGTGCATGGTATGGTATTCTTGAAAGAGTTCATCTTTTTGCTAAGGAAAAGATATGCCCATAATTTGAAAATCAAATTAAGCTGAATGCTGCTAGCTTGAAAGGTCCAATTGCATTCAGGATAGTAAATCAAAGAGACTTGTAGTATTCTACATCATCTATCTGTTCCATTTTTTGAAACAGCAACTTAAAGGTTTCAAATTTACATAAAGGACAGACTATCATGTTATGCATGAAACTCAGACCGGTGTTACTAGATTCAGAACATTATTCCGTGATAACCTGGGATGAGGAAAAAGTGTCAGAGGGAAATCATATGGTGGAAAATCCAGATTCTCTATACTTCCTTGAAGCATTTGAAGCACAAGTGTGATGGAAGGGCGATTTTCCGGCTTCCACTGGATGCACCAGAGCCCTACAATGGCTAACTTTTTCCAAACCCGGTCCGCTCCATCTTCCTCAACTTGAATTCTCAATGTCAACTCTTGTCTGCTCATTAAATGTCTGTAGACCCTTTCAGGGTAGTCCAACTCGCTGGTCCCTTCCAAATACACATCAATATTCCTTCTTCTTCCCACCATTTCGAGCAACAACATCCCGAAACTATAAACATCGGATTTGCTTGACACGCCGCCTAGTTGACTCGAGAACATTTCAGGCGCGATGTAGCCCATTGTTCCTCGGGGAGATAACGAAGGAACTGCACTTATTTCCTTACCATACGATTTAGCCAAGCCAAAGTCAGATATTTTGGGAGTGTAGCTGTGGTCTAATAAGATGTTTTGTGGTTTGATATCGAGATGGAGTATCCTCTGTTCACATCCCTGATGGAGGAACTCGATTCCTCGAGCTATCCCGATGGCAATGTCTTGCAGTTTCTCCACTCCAAGTACTTGATAGTCTTGTTCTTCTTGGAAAATGAACTTGTCCAGAGAACCACAGGGGAGAAATTCATAAACAAGAGCTACTCTGGATCCATCCGCGCAGAATCCCAGCAAGTGAACTACATTTTCGTGGTGGATCGTGCCCATTGTCGCTACTTCATTGATAAATATGTCTGTGTTTATTCCAGAACTATTCAACAGCTTCACAGCAACAAATGCTTCTTCATTTGGAAGCTTCCCTTTGAACACAGTTCCAAAACCTCCTTTCCCAATTTGGAAACTGAAGCAGTTTGTGATTTTCTCGATATCAGAGTAGGAATATCGTTGAGGTTTCCTCCTTGTATAGTCTTCCAATAGTCTTCTGATCCTTACATTGTTAAACTCGAGACGTGAAGCAGCGCTGCCACCTGAGATGTCATCTGGTTCAACCGTAGGTGTCATCCTTCCTACAGATTGATCAAGTTGTTAAAGTTAAAAATTTTGATTGGGTTGCCTCCATGGTGATACAATCTGGATCATAGTAAAATAGTGCAAAACATATCTATGAGAAATATTAAGGGAAAAGGGTCTTAATTAAGCTGACATGTACACATATGTGAATCTTTATCAATTATAAAGGAAGAAGCTAGCTGAAAATCAACCAGGAAAAGATCTTTAGGAAAGGAAGGGAAAGGAGAAGAGAAACGGGAAAAAGATGCCTAAATGACAAGGATTGGTAAACCTCTATGCTGAATGACAAATGGACTCCTACAGATCTTTCCCTGAAGAGTCGAATAATGCTTTATACATCATTAAGTATGGCAGAAACGGCCTCCTTGTAGAGCAATGCATGATTCAAACTACAATATCGGAGCTTTTTTTCCTGAAAAGAATACCCTAATCTTCCAGTGAATTAAGAAATATTCCATACATCCCAGCTCTCACAAGTCACAATACCTTTACTTTAGCCTTAGACTAGCTGAGTACGAACTTACCTATTCTTTTCAGCATGTCTGGAGTTAGCTTGTCACCATGAGTTGATGCTGGTAAGCTGAGATGATCAGTGGGCTGAACTGGTCTACCCAAACTATGCAAAACCAGGAGGACTTCTTTTGCTTGAGGACGCTCAGAAGGATTGGCGTCGAGACAGATCTTAGCAACAAAAGCAACAGACCATGCCTGCACCAAATGATCTCCATTTACGATTAAAGACGGGTCAACAATGTTTACAAAAAGTTTCTTATCATCTAGGTCAATTTGGCGCAGGGTGCATTCCAACCAATCCTTTCGAGCAGAGTCACTCATTGGAGAGCACAGCTTGCCTGTGATGAGTTCAAGCAGAACCTTCCCGAAGCAATAAACATCATAGGCACGCGTCGCATTAGATGTTCCTGTTCATTTGGTGATTCCAGATAAATGAGTACAAGATCGAAAAGTATAAAATTTACCAACTAGATAAACATGAAAGAATACATTTATGTATGACAATCTGACTTGAATATGAGAATAAATGAAGCAGCTTTTCTCAACAGCCCTCTTAATTTATTACCAAACTCTCAGATAATATCTAGAAAATACATTAACTTCAACTCATAAAGAGGAAGGAAGAGACTATCAGAAAGTCATACCAGGATTACTTGGTCTAGAACCCCTGCATAAATGAGTAAAAGTCTATGAAAACCTAAAATCCAAACCAAAAACCTACAAAAATAATGCAAGAGTTAGAAAAGAGAACTAAAAGAACAATTTGTTTTTGTAAATCGAACCTTCAATCCATGTACTCTTCGGCCAGATATCCAAAAATAACCCCTAGAGTTGAAGAAGATGACAGATGCATTAATGTATTGTGCAGAAACTTACTTCAATAATCGGAGTAAACTTGGAATCTTGATTTTATTACTCTCCCTTTCTTCAATACAGAAATCAGTTAGGCTCCCTAATTGGACCATTAATTCATCATCAAGGAGAATGCTGCTGGCTTGAATATCCCTTTTGAAGATACAAAGCAAAGAAACATGCAAAATTATCAGAATACCACTTATATTCAATAATGGCATCTTTAAACTTCAAAGAACTGCAAAAGAAAGATAAAAGAGAAAGGACTGTGAAATAATCTGAATTTGCTAACTACCTGTGAACTAGTGATGGAACACATTCATGATGTAGATAACATAATCCTTCTAAGACTCCAGTTGCAATCTTCAACCTTGTTGTCCAATCCAGTGACGATACTCGTGGATCACCATCAATATTGCCATTCAAAAATCTAGATAAATCCTTGTTAGGCATGTGCTTATAAACCAGAAACTTCACATTGGCATTGTCCAAGCAATAACCTAGAAGAGGAATGAGCCTAGAATGTTGTGTTGTCCCATAAATTTTAGTTTCCGTAACGAAGCACAATTCTTTCTCCAAGCATGATACATCAACTTTCTTAACAACTACTTCAGTCCCATTTTCTAAAACACCAAAGTAGAGATCCCCAGAGTGGCCTCTCTTCACAAGGTTCGAATCATCTAGGGAATTAGTGGCTCTAAGGATTTGAATGTAGGAAAATGAATCCCCCACCAATAAGGAAGAAACTTGGGCGTAAGTTGAGCTGTAGTTAAAAGACGGAGATGAGGATGATGACGCTGATAATGAAGAGAGGTCACTCGGGGTTCTCAAAGCAATCTCCCGGAACTCCTCGCGGCGCAAAGTGGCAGTAACCAGCTTTTCCCAGTTGCCATAAATTCGAGACATTCTGGAATGACATGGGAGTTGTTGATTTCCGGAAATGATGAGAATAATGGAGGCCCTTTAGCATCAAACATCGTAATCTCACTGTACAGGAAAAAAAAAAGTCTGCATTAATAACCCTTTTGGGTTTTCACTCCTTTATCTTCAAATCAACACGTTTGTTGAAACATGGAGGAGTGGTGGACCATTGTCGTCGCTTCCCCTGAAAGCTCAAATTGGTGTCCCAACCAGAATTCTTTTTTTTTTTTGTGGGATAGAGGTGGTACACTTGTTACATTTATCCATACTTTTGACTGAAATTCAACGGCCTGGAAGAAATTTTATGCAGAGTAAGTAAGATTAAGTGAATGGAAGTGGACAAGTGGTTATTTTCATGGAATCTTTAGTATCATTTGAATAGCTAATTCCGTGTTCTGTTTTTGAAGCAGAGAAACATATGAGTCCTGATTGATACAAGCTGACACCCTAATCTTATATAGTTACAGGATTTCCCTAGCCTACTAGTAAGATTATTTACTGAGAAATGTAGTAGTACTATCTGAAGCCTCTAGTTTCTATGCTGACTGCATAAATTCAGAGCCATCATCCAGCAATTGTTTTGGACTAGGATTCTCGACTTGGAATGAACATTCTATTCTCGGCCGGGATGAGGTAAAAGGATTTGGTGGTAAACTTAAAGTTTCTCCATTTCCTTCTACCATTTCAAGAACAGATGTTATCGATGGACGATCCTCAGGGTAACACTGGATGCACCAAAGTCTCACGATTGTCAACTTTCTCAAAATCATGTCCTCTTCTTTTTTTTCATGTTGAACTCTCAGTACTTCCCCCTCGATTACACTTTGGTAAACTTGTTCGGGTAAGTAGAAGTCGCTTTTATCTTGCACGGTGGCATCAATATTTCTTCCTCGTCCCACCATTTCGATCAACAACATGCCGAAGCTATAAATGTCAGATTTGTAAGATACCTTGCCGAACTGCCTGGAAAAGACTTCAGGCGCAATGTAGCCCACTGTCCCTCTTATATCTGTCAGAGTAACAGCATTTGTGCCCCCTCCAAACTGCTTAGCCAATCCGAAATCAGCTATCTTTGGATTGTAATTCTGGTCTAATAAGATATTGGGTGGTTTGATATCAAGATGAAGGATCCTCAGTTGGCATTCTTGTTGAAGGTGCTTGATTCCTCGAGCTATGCCAATTGCAATGTTTTGATACGTCTCCATTCCCAGCATGTGCTTCCCTTGGCCTCTTGGATAGATGAATTCGGACAAAGATCCCTTAGGTAAGAACTCGTAGACAAGAGCCCTTTTGAATCCATCTGCGCAAAAGCCTAACAATCGAACTACATTTTGCGTGGTTGACTATTCCCATGACTGCCACTTCATTGACAAATGCTTCCCTAGTATCCACAGATCTATGCAGTAGCTTCACAGCAACAGTTATGTTATCTGAAACCTTACCTCTATACACTTTTCCATAGCCTCCATCACCTAATACCTCCTTGAAACCTTTTGTGATTTTCTTGATATCAGCATAGGAGTATCTCTGTAGCTCCATTTCTGTATAGGTCTTCAAGTTTCTATTGACCCTCATCTGGTCAAACTTTAGCCGAGAAGCGGTTCTGCTGCCTGTGATCTTTGCTTTGATTGTTGTGGTAAACTTTTCTACAAGAAAAAAATCATGAAGGGTAAGTTTAAAATAAGGTGTGGAACAAAAGAAGAAAAAGAAATACGCTTGATCCTATATCCACAGATGATGAGTTCAATCTACCTATCGTTTTAAAACTCTTAGGAGCTTGTTTGATACTGAGAGTTGAGGCAATTAAGCTGTAATGACCATTTGGCTGAATTTCTCTATCAGTAAAACTTGCCAAATTTTCTAAATTCTTGAGGATCTCAGCCATTTGAGGACGCTTAGAAGGATTGCGATTCAGACAGGCCTTTGCGATAAAAGCAACAGCCCAGGCTTCCAGCAAATGATGCTCATCAATCATCAAAGAATGGTCAACAATATTAATAATCAGTTCCTTATCATCTCCAACAATGTGGCGCATGGTGCTTCCCAACCAATCCTTCATTGCCGAATCATTGACAGGACATCCCAGCTTGCCTGTGACGAGCTCAAGTAAAACCTTTCCAAAGCAATAAACATCATATGCACATGTCGCATTAATTGCACCTGTAGTTTTCATTCAGGACTGGTTTCAGAGGAGCCAAGATGAAATCAGCATTTTGCCTACATTATCATGTCAAGGTCTCTTAAATTTTGAGGCAAACGGGGGATAGAAAAAGATTCTGTTTCGTAAATGTCAATCTGGTTTTAGCATTTAAGCAAATGAGGCAACTTTTAAGCATATAAATGTCTAAACCTCTTCCCCTTTGTAGTATCAGAAAGGTAGATTCATGCACGAAAGCAAGTTAAAAACATTCTTGTCTACAAGATTTCATACATCATATATCTTTTTCAACTGAGGTTGCTGGTTTTATCGTCCTCTCTTATGGCAATGCAATGGACTTTCAATTGATACCAAACTATAGAAAACTAATGAGAGATTAAAAAATGACATGCCACAGCAATTAGTGCTCCTGCGGATTGTTTGAAAAAGATGGTTTGCTAAGTGGACTTTTGTATAAATAAGGATGAATGAAGTTGAAAAGGGAGTAACGTCAACAACAATTTTGCTATAAGTAGAACTTTCTGAGTTATAATAGCAACAAAACTAATCCAAATGAGAGTTCAAGAACTGGGTAGCGGGAGTACCAGTATAGTTTTGTTCAAATCCCCTGCAAAGCAGAAGATACATCATTGATGCTATATAAGTAGTTGCTCAGAAAACAAAGTTGTAATCCAACTATTCCTGAATATGTGACTCAGTTCTTGAGCTTACTAAAACCTCATCATATGTCCAGATTTCAGAAAGTGCATCCTTCATGCGCGAGATGAAAAAGCCGCAAGAATTTTCTGAAGTTAATTACCTTGGGGATCGAAGGAATCTCGCAAGCTTGTTTTGATTAGTGTTTTCTTCTTCGATACAGATCCGAGTGAGGCTCCCCAACTGCACTTCAAATTCATCGCAGAATACTACTTGCTTGGACATCCCTACACAAGATCAAAAGAGACAAAACCCAAATCACCAAGAAGACAGAATCATCCCCAGGGACTAGTAACAAATGAAATACAGTGGAAATCTTTTTTGGTATATATGTACCTATGGACAAGTGGTGGAGAATACTGATGCAGATAACATAAACCCTCCGCAACTCCAGTTGCAATCTTCAACCTGGTTTTCCAATCTATAAAGGTTGATGGCCGATCATCACCATTTCTTCCGGCCAAAAATCTTGACAAATCCCTGTTAGGCATGTGCTTATAAACCAGAAACTTCTCATCTGGATTCTCATAGCAGTACCCTAAAACTGGAATCAATCTAGGATGGTCTACCATCCCAACTATTTCCATTTCTGATATAAAACACAATTCTTTGTCAAAGGATGAAACTTTTACCCGTTTAACTGCAACTTCAATCCCATCTTCCAAAACACCAAAATAAAAATCCCCAGAGTGACCATGATTTATGAGATTGGAGTCATGGAAGTGATCAGTTGCTCTAACAATCTCAGAATATGTATAAGTCTCCCCCACCGAAAAGGATGAATCTTGGCCATAGTTTGAGCTGAACCTGTAAGATGGCGATTGAGTTGTTGCTGACTCCAAAGACAAATCACTTGGAGTTCTAAGAGCAATCTCCAATATAGCTCTTCTCTGCGCAAAGTGGCTGCCACAAGCCTTTCCCAATTTTCATAAATAATAGTCATATCTATAGTTTGTAATTTCAAAATCCCAGAAACCAAAAGTACAACAACAACATATAAGTTCTGAAATTCATGAACATGAAGCCCCTAATCAGTGATTAGGGAGATCAATGATTTTCTGGAATGATTGAAGATGGTCACTGTACTGATGCCTCCAAAAAGAAACAGTTCCTCTTTATAGTTTTTAGAATTTTCTTCAAGTCAAAAGGTTGTGAAAATGTCTGATATCAATGTGGTTTCTAATTTTCTACTACATATTCCACTTTCATCAGACTCTTTGTTTGACTTTTATCCCACTTATTCATTCTTTGTTCTACCATCTTGACGTCTTCATAAATAATTTTGAAACGGTCAATAATTTCGGAACGAAGGGAGTATATATTATCCGAAGCCTTTTTAAATCTAGGTTGATTGCATAAATACAGAGTTATTATCTAGCAATTGCTGGTTGACGACCCCCCCCCCAAAAAAGAAGACATTTTGTAATTTCTCATTCTAAATAAAATCCAGAAGAAAGCTCTTTGACTTAAAATGGAGACGTGTTAATCGCGGGGGTTTCCTCTGCATTTTCCATCTTATTAGTCTTCATAAATTGCCGTCTTCCATCTTCCTCCTTTATAAGTCCGCACTTTCCTCACAAAATCACACACAAAGTGTATCATTCACCAAGTTCATTCCACGTTTGATGAAACGGTAGCTGTTGTTCTTAAGCCTACTAAGCCTTACATATGTCCACTTTTCGGAAGAAAGATCACAGATAAGCACAATACTGAATTTCATTAAGGCGCCTCAGCTGCAACTTTAAATTCATCAGTATTCACAATATCATGCAATTCAACGAATAAAATTGTGGATTGTACTCATTTTTTTTGTTGTTTCCCAATCATTCATTGGTTAATTGTTGTTAATATGGAATAAAACACTCAAGTACAAATCAAAATAAACCGTTAAATAATAAAAAATCTCCCGTAGCAAGTCAAGGCACGAAAATCTCGCTTTCTTTAGGTGATTCAAGCCTTCTACAAAGATGATTTCAGTTTGATGCAATGTTGGGCCAATGTTTCCCTTCAATTGAGTCCAATATGATTTAAAGCCAAAATTCACGTTGGATTTGGTTTAGTTTGGCAGAATAAAAGGAAAACCAATTGGATTTGGTTTTTTTTGGTTTTGATTGCTTATAAAAGCAATGTGACTGTGACTTTTTGGCTGTGAATTTGATAAGCAAATTTGGGGCAGCCACACATTATTTTTGTGCGAGAGAAAAGAGAAGAAAAAAACTAGTTCTGGGCTCTTTTGGTGTTGCGAGCAGAAAGTGTTTCACTTTAAGGCTTTGATCGGGTGACGAAACAGAGTCAGTTATTAGTACAAGTTTGCATGTGTATTCCTTTCAACAAGATCTACAAATCCTCCGGTTTAGGTTTCAGTTTAGCTCTCTTTTGGTAAGATCTTTCCAATCTTACTTTGTGGTTTAGGTGTGTGTGGAAGAGTATGGTTGTAATCCACCTTTGGGTGAAGTCCTGTATATCCACCGATTGGTGAAGATTGTTTCCCATTATTGTGATAGTGGAGATTTGACTTTTGTTACAGTCCCGTGGTTTTTCCAGATTCGGGTTTCCACGTAAATTTGTGTGTCTCCTTTATTTTATTAGTTCTTGAATTATTTTACTTGTTTGGTTGTCCTATTTTATTGATAGTAGGAAAGGAGTTTTTCTTGGGGTTCGTTTTCGTAGTGTGTTGTGTTTATTGCCTTTCACCACAACAGTGGCATCAGAGCTAGGGTTTGGTAGTTGAGGTGTTATACCAATAAAATGGAAGAGTTATCGGGGTGCTGGTACGATGATTAAATTGACTTCATCTAATTATCATATGTGGAAGTCTAGAATGGAAGATTTGTTGTATTGCAAAGATTTGTTTGATTTTGTTCTAGGGGATAAAGGTAGGTCAAGTGATATGACTGATGAAAAGTGGGCTGATATGCACAGGAAGACTGTTGGTAATATTCGATAGTGGATTGATCAAAATGTGTTTCATCACTTTTCGGGAGAAACAAAAGCTGATGAACTTTGGGAGAAAATCCAAAATACGTACTGGAAGAAGTCCGGCATCAATAAGTCATCTCCGCTGAAACAGATTACCAGGTTGAGCTACAAAGATGGTGCTAGCATGAATGAGCACTTGAGTTCGTTTCAGGATTTCTTGAACCAGGTAGTAAATGTAGGTTTAAAGTTGGATGATGAGGTGCATGCTTTGTTATTGTTTAGTTCTCTTCCAGACAGGTGGGACATTTTGGTAGTGTCAATCAGTTATTCAACCCAGGATAGTGTCTTGACCTTGGATCAGGTCAAAGAGGCTTTGATGAATGAAGAAGTCAGAAGAAAAGAGTAGAGTATTGGGTCTGAGTCGCAGGCTCTGATGACAGAAAAGTCAGATAGAAGAGGGAGAAGTAAAAGCAGAGGGCCACGTGATCGGAATGATAAGTCCAGAGGATGGTCTAAATCCAAGAAAGATGTCGTGTGCTACCATTGTCAAGGGAATGGACACTTTAAGAGGGAGTGCAGGGTTCTCAAGAGAGAACTAGCAGCAAGAAAAGGTAAAGGCAAGAAGGATGAATCAAGTGATGATCAGTAACTACCAGTGATGTATTTGTGTACTGTGATGATGATACAATTAATGTTGCGAGTCACGACAGTGATTGGTTCGATGATTCAGGTGCATTTTATCATGTGACGCCTCACAGACACTTCTTTACCTTTTACACACCTGGAGATTTTGGTCGTGTAAGAATGGCCAGTCAAGCCTCATGCGCTGTTGTCGGCATGAGAGAGGTATCATTGGTAACAAATACAGGTTGTACTCTTGTCTTGAAGAATGTCAGACATATTCCGGATATGTGTCTGAACCTTATTTCCGTTGGAAAACCTGATGATGAGGGTTATCATAGCACTGAAGGTGATGGCCGTTGGACAATTATCAGAGGGAATCTTGTTATTGCTAGAGGAAAAAAGTTGAACTCTTTGTATGTGTGAATGCAAAGTTGAAAAATGGAGAGGTGAATGCAACTCAAAATGCGTCCATTGATCTCTGGCATAGAAGGCTTGGACACATTAGTGTCAAGAGGCTCCAGATTCTTGGTAAGAAGCAATTTCTCCCTGAGGTGAAAGGTACTGCTCTAGAACCTTGTGTTGACTGTATCTATGGTAAACAACATAGGGTTTCCTTTCAAAATTCTCCTCCATCTAGAAAGTCCAGTCCTCTAGAGTTAGTTCATACAGATGTATGTTACATGAAAGATAGGTCGCTAGGTGGTGCATTGTACTTTCTTACTTTCATTGATGATTATGCTCGAAAGGTTTGGTGTTTTTCTTTGAAATCTAAAGATCAGGTATTAGATGTGTTCAAAGACTTTCACCTTAGAGTTGAAAGAGAGACTGGAAAGAAGTTGAAGTGTGTTCGAGCAGATAATGGTGGTGAGTACAGGGGTCCGTTTGAGAAGTATTGCCGAGACCATGACATTAAACTTCAGAAGAGTGTTCCGAAGACTCCGAAACATAATGGCGTGGCAGAAAGAATGAACAGAACTATTACCAAAAAGGTTAGGTGTATGCTCTCGAATGCAAAGCTGCCTAAATCTTTTTGGGGGTGAAGCCATGCAGACAACAGTTGATTTGATCAACCTATCTCCCTCAGTTCCGTTGGATGATGATCTACCACAGCGAGTTTGGATTGGGAAAGATGTCTCATTTGGACATTTGCGAGTTTTTGGTTGTCGTGCCTTTGTTCATTTTCCCAAAGACAAAAGGTCGAAGCTTGATGGCAAATCCAAACAGTGTATATTATTGGGGTATGACAATGATGATTTTGGGTATAGACTTTGGGGTCCTGTAGAGAAGAAAGTTTTCAGAAGCAGAGATGTGATCTTCTTTGAAGACCAGACCATTGATGATATGGGAAAGGGCGAGATGGCAGAATCTTCACCTGAGATTCCTGTTGATCTAGATCCAGTTCCTCCACAATCAGATGATTCTCCTGAAGGGGGAGCTGAGACAGAGCAAGATGGTGAGTTTGATGATGATCCTGCTACTGAAACTGAGACACCACCAGTTTCATCACCTCCTGTTCAGCCTAGGAGGTCCACTAGAGACAAGAGACCTTCCACCAAGTACAGTGCTCATGAGTATTTGTTGCTTATTGATGAGGAAGGGCCAAAGTCGTATGAAAAGGTTCTTAGTCATGAGCAGAAAGATCAGTGGTTAGCAGCCATGCAAGATGAGATCAAATCCTTGCATGAGAATAACACGTATGATCTGGTGAAGCTGCCTAAGGGCAAGAGAGCACTCAAGAATAAATGGGTGTTTAGACTGAAAATAAGTGAGAACAGCTCACAACCGAGGTACAAAGCTAGATTGGTTGTGAAGGGATTCAATCAGAGAAATGGCGTAGACTTTGATGAGATATTCTCTCCTGTTGTAAAGATGTCTTTGATCCGAGTTGTGCGTGGGATAACGGCCAGTTTGAATCTTGAGATTGAACAGCTTGATGTGAAGACAGCCTTCTTGCATGGTGATTTGGAAGAAGAGATTTACATAGAGCAACCAGATGGGTTCCAGGAGAAGGGGAAAGAAAAGCTTGTATGTCGTCTCAAAAAAA